GCGATACTTCAATTATTTTGCACAGGCTCATCTAGTCAAAATCGATCTAGTAACAAAAGTACGAAGCTGCCTTGGCGAAGAAAAAACAACAGACCTCAATAAACAGTTTAGCACACTTGATGTCAGTGATTAGTGGAATTCCATTGTCGACTGCCATTCTTCTGGTTTTATATCCAGGCGTTCTAAATTGAAGAAAATAAGTTAATCGCACAAAATTCAAGGATTAAGACATAATTTTTTATTTGTCCACCAGTTTATATGCTTATCAGCTCAGTCAATCAATCATTACTAAATCTGAAAGAAGATAGCGGAGCATACATTGACTGGAAAAAGGACAGATTGTTAAAATCTTCATAGGACTTCCCTTCGGATTCAGAAACTCGGCTGAAATCTTCGACACAAAAACATACATATGCAACAGAATTAATTACAGAATTACCAACCTGTAAGCTGAAACTCGATAGGCGCCAGATCCACGAATTGGAAGATTTATAACCAAATGGAACTCTTTATTCTCGAAGAACTCCGCCACGCTTCTGAAACCATTTTGTAGGAAACGGTGTAGAAGGCTATCATTAATGTATAACTACATGTGTGCATGTTTTTTAATACAGTGGCACTCCTACGTCTCTCTAACCACCCTTATAGCGATTGCAAGAAATTGTGCGCGCGTAGAATCGATGTCAAACTCAATCAAGCTGTATTTGTGATCAGTTTTACTCTTTCATTTGACNATCCTACCTCGTTCCTGCGGCCATCTTTTGATCAGATGTTCCTTCTTCAAAAGGCCAATCGACGGCCGTCACATGAATGTTATTCGATTGGAAATAGTCCGCTGTGCCTTTCGAACCGAACAGATCAAAATTCATGTCTTGCAGCAGCTGTACACTGCGCAACATCTCGGACTTTGCCTAAAGCATCAATGACCTTCCTGGGTATGTCAGGAAAAAGAAAATGGATTTGTGAATGGTCCTTATCATAACAACAAAAAAAAACCCAATCAACTAACATGGTACCCTCCAATCGATAGAAGGATGTTCTTCTTTGGGACAACAAATCCAGTCGAAAGCAGTGCTTTTAAATACGCTTCCTGACGATGTTTCCCAAAGCAGGCAACCTAGGAAATTGAAATTAAGTAAGTCGAAGCATTGAAGAATGACCCTGAAAACCTCAAATCTAACGATACCGATAGCAACTATTTACCTCTCCAGTAGATGCCATCTCTACGCCAAGCATCACGTCAGCGCCTGTTAGACGAGAAAATGAGAACTGTGGCACCTAGAAGTGAACTACGTTTTTTGTATCATGCAGTCCAACCAAGTCAAAATCATATACCTTCACACCGACACGTGCTTTGCCTCGGAGCAGACCATGCTTTTTCAACGAACTAGCTATCGCCGGATTGTCCGCTGCCATCATCGCTCGGGTGGCCAAAGCGACAAAGTCAAAGTCAAGCGTCTTTGTGACAAATGGGAACGACCGTGAGACTCGAAGATTGCATTCAATTACTTTTAGCTCATTATCCTGTAAATCAGTCGCATTAATTACGTGTTATAACGGTTTTGAATAAAAGCTTTTATGTTTGAATTAATTCGTATTATTCTGAATGATTTAAGTCAAGAATGATTTTTAAAATCAGCATCAGGATGTTATAGGGATCAGGATCATGAACTTCTTCTCAGCAAAAATACTGACATTAACGATGAAAATGGCCCGCCAGAGTACGGCTGCCCTCAGCCCATGCCGCGCAAAATGTACTTATCGACTGCAGCTGAGTGCCGCAGCACCGCTGCCGCTAGCTGCCTCAGTAGCAGCCAACCAGAGCGGTCGCGATAGTAAAAACTGCTTGCCGTAGTAGCAAGACCATTTCTATCCAGATTTAATATCCAGTCAGGTATGAGTACACAACAACAGTACGCATTCCAGGAATGGGGGAAAGCTTGTGAAAGATGATTCAGGAACAAATAAGTCGATGTAAAAATAGGTACCTTGGCAATAAGCTGCATATTGAATGGCCCATTTGCGTTGAAGGCAGAAGCAATTTGAACTGTGATTTCTTGAATCCGATTCAAGGTGACCTGAAAGAGACTTGGTAAAACTCCGATTTTGCGACTGCTCATCCTAACCGATCACCATACCTGGTTGAGATCTTGTGGAGGAGTGACTAAGGTTGCATCACCCGAATGAATTCCGGCATTTTCCACATGCTCACATACAGCCATTACCAGCACTTCACCTTCCATAGCGACTGCATCAACGTCTATTTCCTTCGCTTCGCTGAAATTTCGTTGATNCGGTTTAAAGAAATGTTTTCATCAAAAGCTAAGGTGAAGAAGCATAACTACAAAGTAATGATTGAATTGGATAATTGCCAAAGAATTGATTCAGACATGGGTACGTGAGCTATAGATAACTTAGCTTTTTTTTACAGTGATGGTAGAACAAGAAATTAAAAAGTAACGTAATGGAGTAAATAAAAAACCTTATAAATTTCGATACAACCACAGGATGTTCTTTGGCGACGACAGCTGCCTGTTTCAAGAACGCAGCCAGGTCGTCTTCTGTGTGAGCAACATTCATGGCTGCACCGGATAATACGTAAGATGGTCGAATAAGACATGGATAGCCAACTTTTGCACAGAATTGCTGAAATACTGGGTTTCAAAGTATACACCAAGCAATTTACCAAGACCCCGAACAAACTCGACCTTGGCATCTTCCACATCATCGCTTTTCTTCCACTGCGGTTGGCTGATTTGCAAATGTTCCAGCTTTCTACTGAATTTGTAACGGTCTTCGGCGCTGTCAATATCGTTTGGCGACGTGCCAAAGATGCTCACCTGTAACACTACTTCGTTACCTATACTGAAAATGTGGAGCTCTACAGAGCTTTGGCGAAAAGGCCAAGCGTAAAGACATGAGCTCCCCAAGCTGATAAGCTAGTACAGCAAGAAGGCAAAGGTTCGAAAATGGAAAGCTGCACATGCAAAAATCGATGATTAGATGCCTTCAGCTTATAAAGTGAAAAATGAAAGCAATCTGCAAGTGAAACCTTGGCTCAGACAGAAAACTTCGAATTAGCAAATGTGACTGCACACCTCCCAAAAATCTGTCATTACAGCACTTCTTAGGATGAACCACGCATCACGGTTAGACAGCTTTTAAGCTTTTAAGAAGTCAGCTCTCTCCCTAGTTGAGATGATGTAGTAGCGAAGATCTTAAGGCCTTTCGCATGGTCCGGGTATGATCGTGACTAAGCCGAGTCCCATGGACCGCGTAGGCTTACTAGATCTACCTGGGGGAAGGCACTGATCTTGACTAAAAAGACATCTCATCCCCCTATGCCATACGAATGTCATATGCTGTTCGCAATCCATAAGCTAAATTCAACCTTCCCTTTCGATGATTGACTGGAGCAGGTCGTCGGCAACCGTCACCGGAGCTTCACCACTTGCAGATTCGTTTTAGCACTGTCTGAAGGTCTGATTGCACAAATCCTAGAGACCCTACCTTTCTCCGAATTTCGAAGGATTCAAGAAAAAGGAAATGTCTACAACCAAGGGGAACAAGTTCAGAACGGGGTTAAATTAAAGTTAATAAATAAATATAAATGCCTTTTGATTGCGAACTCGTATGCGTGGCGCATCCCAAGAGCGTTGAAAAAAACCAAAAATTATTTACCCCTCCATCCTTGCTTCTATTATCCAATATGCCCTGCAACATTCAGATGTGTCTCAAAAATGTAAGCGCATTCAGGTCACAATATATGTAAGCGACAAAATCATTACAGTAGAAGTTTCAAACGCAGAAAATAAGCCAATCACATAAAAAAGATGGAAATACAATAACTGAAGTCATTGGCTATCTGCCAACAAAATTACTGTACTCTTTCAATTCAAAGAACTAATCACGTACCTGGGCCTTACTGAGGCTCATTGCAATGTTATTTGGAGCTTGACCTCCGAATGCCAGTATGATGCCTTTAGGTTTCTCCATATGGTAGATATCTATGACCGTTTCGAAAGAGATCTCCTCGAAGTATAGTCGATCACAGATATCGTAATCCGTCGAGACCTTCAATCAAAAATCAAAAATGACAATATAAGAAAACTATGGATTAAAGTCGATGAATATTGACTTTCAGGTATTCCACCTACCGTTTCCGGGTTGCAGTTGACAGTTATTGTTTGATACCCAAGCGCTTTCAGCTCTCTGACACATCCGACACAAGAAGCGTCAAACTCAACTGACGATCCAATGCGGTACACACCTGATCCAAGCACGATAACTGCATTCTTCTGAAAGCTCGATCAATAATTACTAGTGGAACAAGAACAAACTTCCTCAAATATCTTGCCATGTTGAATTGCACATCGTTTTCTGCTCCATTATAGGTGACGTAGAGGTAATTGGTCTGTGCTGGCCATTCTCCGGCTACCGTATCTATCTGTTTCACCCATGGTGTCACATTTAGGCGCACACGTCTTTCACGGACCATCGACTCGGTGCTAAACATCATCTCTACATTTGACACTTCAGATTCCTTACTATACATATAGCGCGCTCGCGTCTGCTTGTCTGCCTGTCATAGAGTTCGATATTACCTGAAGAAGAACTTGGAGAGGACGGATTAGCTTGGAATGGGTCGGGCATTAGGCAAGATTGTCGGGCATGTCCCATCCAGCGTGAGCGGAGCCTTGCAGGGCACATGTGAGCACTTCCGAGCTTCCCCGGGACATGGACAAAAGGGGGCGGCGCGCGTTCACTCTCTCATGGAATTTCACAATAGTCCGGCGCCCATTAAAAATTCTTTTCCTACATTCCATGACAATTTTCATGTATCCGAACATTTCAGGCTCCAACATGCATTCGCGCTTTTCTATTCATCAAAATGCGATAGCAGAAGAAAAACTACAGTGGCTGCTGAATAACTCTGAGGTCAGAACCCTCTATCAATCCCAAACAGAATCAATTATCGCTTTCCGGAACTGGAATTTCCGCAGTAACCATGCGTATTTAAAGGAGGACGAAAGGCTCAGACCGCTGTAGTCGTCATGAAATCGATTTTGATTCTACTGATT